CAAATTACTAACTACTTTTGAAATTATATGGTGCAAATTTCGCCCATCACGAAAGTTTGAGCGCAGAAATGAATAAGACGTCTGCAGATGAAGTTTCATTAGGCGTCCTTGGACCAAGGTGGCGACGAGCAGCCAAAACATAACACCGGCACGCACGAATGCAGGAAGAGATGCTTAACAAGCCTTGGTCGGGTATTGACCTAATCCGGTAATGCACACAGGCGCCGCATTTCCAGCTGCAACCGTGAAAGACGGGGACACTCCGAGAGTTGTTGATTTCATGTTGTCTGTCTTTAGTGAGTTCTGACTCAAGCAGTAGGTTCCACGGGAGGCGCCACTGGAATGACCTCGCAGCTGGGCGTCTGTTCCCACGATCGCCTTGTCGTCAGCACATACGCCTTTGCAAAGCCGGACTCCCCCGCGCACAAACCCTGGTACGGATAATCCGTCCATGGGAGCACGTTCCCGCTTTCAGTTGCAATTGTATACGAGCGACGATGTTTGTTCACGTAATCCTTCGCGTCCTTCCGACCATCCATGCCTGGGAGACCTCCTCTTTGTTAAAAACGATTTACTTGTCAGGCGTGTCAGGCGCGTCAGAATATTGTAGTCGCCGGCGACGATTGCGAGTTACCCTTGGGAGATCCTTTTGTTGGACCCGGCGTCAGCGGCGAAGTATACTTCGGTTCATCTTCTGTTAAACCGAAACAATTTGTTTTTTCAGTAGCGTAGCACTAGCACTACAACGGGACGCGCAGTCGTCCGGATGCCTTCATCGTCGTGGCGCGAGACTTGAACCCTTGACGGTCTGGTGCACTCGCTCAGCGTACTCTCAGAACGACGTCGGAATAAAGAGGGGCTAGTCATAACAATCTCAACTTGACGAAGAAGAAAGAAAAAAGGAGGAAAGTTTGTTATAAAAGACCCTCTACCCGAGGCAAACCTCACATGTTTCGTCATGGGCACCTAAGATGCCGACACTCGCTTACCCGACCCTGCACAGCCGGTTTCTCAAATTCAACGCTGCCGTTCCATCCAGCCCGTCGGTGGAACGTCTATTTAGCTTGGCTGGGGACGTCTTTAGAAGGAAAAGGGGAAAACTCTCCTATCAAGAACTTTGAAAGTCAATTGCTTGTGCGAGCGAATAAACTATTTTGGCGAAAACGCAAGACATAAATAGACTGCATTCATTTTAGGCTCGCAGGGTTTTTCATTGATCAAAATTGATGTTCATTTTGCTACCACAAAAATATAAAAAAGTAACTTCAAAAGTAACTTCAAAGTAACTCGCTACTTTTTACAGTAGTTAGTAGTTTACTCAATTACTATTACAAATGCGTAATTTCTACTCTACTCCAATTACTTTTGGCGTCGATACTCAGTAACTTAACTACCTTTTTTGAGTAATTTGTACATGTCTGGTGTGAAGTGAAGCGCATGCGCAGTGCTGTTGACAGCGCCACCGCAGTCGCATGACGTCACGATCACATGTTGGTCTATACGGCGAGTAGAGACACTGTGAAATTCATATTTGTACAATGTTTCTTTCCTTCCGCTTCTCCAAACGTTAAGGTCGACCAATAATAAAATGCCATTTTTTTTTGCTTTAAGCCCATCTTGGTGCAGGTGTGGCGCAATTCTCAGCAAAAATGCCATTTTGGCGTAAGGTGTACCAGACTTCGTCCGTGGTGCAATTTGGCGCAAATGGCACGGCACTCCCGACCGTAAAATGTTGCGCCCACTAAATGTTTCCACAATAGACTACTTCCATAAAGCCCTGCATGCAACACAACGCGCATTGCACTCTGGGAACTAGTTGGCCAGGGAGGAGAGTGGCATAGTATCGGTTTTGATCGACACTTCGACAAGAGATTATACACAGAGCGTGGGCTATAAATGGCCGTTATTTCATGTTTTCTAGTCCCGGAGCGTCATTTGTGGTCTCTAAACTAAATGGCCAGACCTCGAAGCTTTAGCACAAGCCAGAGACGTATAGCTTGTCTTAACGCATGCTTGTTCTATTTTTGTACTTGAGCCTTTCTGTTATCGTTTCAAGGTATCTGGACGAGCTAGTGCTGGGAATTTCAACGTTGCAAAGCTCGGGGATCTTGCTTGTGTACGAATCAAGAAGCTGTAGCAAGCAATAAGAATGCATACATCACTGGTACTAGACGGGATTACTGACATTGAGCTCCAAGATGCATTCGTGGGGAGAGGCAACTAAGCCACGTCTTACTAAGTTTGCTTACTCACGCGCAATATCCGGTGTTTTGGGAACCAAGGAAAGTGCCCCGGTCTTAGTTTTGTATCGCTCGAAAATGATTGTATCATAAATTCGTAAAAGGTCACATAATCGAAAACGTAAGCAGCGCGTTCGGTCGCGGCGTGATAGCACGAGATGAAGCTGCTCAGTCGGAACCGAAACTGAGTGGCCAACTAGTTCCCAGAGTGCACTGCGTGGTATTTCGCCACAATGGGGCTCGTCGGTTTTGGAAGAAGTCCATTTATATTCATCAAAACCCACGAAATCGTGCGACTGCAAAGAGTCGGTCACAAATGTCAAGGTCTTGTTCCCCCGTTCCTCTCAAAAGAATACGCAATGTTGGCCTAAAGGAGTATGCGAATCAAAGGAGCGCTTAGTGGCCAAAGTTCGCAAAATGACGTTCGACCCTCTTCAAAAAGCACGCCGAAAATGAAGATGATTCCCCAAGTGCCACGACCTTCAGGTTGTGCCTGGGTTAGCTGCAGCAGTCATCCTCAGTCGTCGTCGGCACGCTCCAAAATGCGCTGTGCCACCGAGACTTGGCTCGGCGCGGCAAAAAAAGAACAGCACACCCAGAGCTGACGGTGCAGTGGGAGTTTCCCTTTCGTCACCCGACCCTACCCCTTGCGCGTCTGTAATTACGTACAGTATAGACCACTTACAACGTAACCGCTTATAGTGCAGGACCTGGTATAACGCGGTTTTTTCAAACCACCGGTTCGCCTCCCATAGAACTCCATGTAATTACATACCGCTTACAGGGGCGGTGCAATGATTTTCGGACTTCGGTCAAAGATTTCTGGAAGTTGCCCCCAGACACTTCTGAAGAACAGAAAACCGATTTCGCCTGCGTGTCCTAGTTTTTGCGTAAAAAAAAGATAAAGATCGGTATTTCGGGCACCCCTCAACTCACTCCCAGCCTTCAGGGTCACACCTGGTCGCACTCCCAGTGACGTCATTCGGAGTGCCGTGTAGCTTCCCTTGTGCTATCTCGGAGGACGCTTCCGCTCCCTCTCTCTGCGTGCATTAGCGGGCGCTATGCTGCGGCTTAGAGCCGAGCGAGGTCACGTAATCTTTCCGCCGTAGTTCCTTCGGCTGCCACTTGGGGCTGCAGGCGGGGGAAAAAGCTCGACCTTTGCTTTGCGATTAAGCAGCGGAATCGCGACATTTTTAATGAAGGAAGTGTTTTCGCTATTCTCCGGGACACGATAAACAACGTAAAAATGACGAGATGCAAATTATTTTAATCATAAAATCGTTGCACCGCCCCTTTAAAATGCAGGCGCGCGAAGGGAAATACCGGTTATAGTGCGGTTTTTGGCACAGCCCGCCGGCCGCGCCGACGACCGGAGCAGCGAGCACGCTTCCCTGTGCGACAGTAGACAACGGCGCTGACGGCGCGAGCCGCAAGGGGCACTCGCGGGGAGAAGCAGTTACTCTAGAAGCGGTGAGGGAGGCTGCAGTTGCCGTAGCAACGGAGGGACGCACGCATGTGTCGTTCACGTGCGTGCGTCCCTCCACCACCTCCGCTGCGTTGGAAACAAAGAAACAAACAACTGCAACGACAGACCAATCACAGGTCGAAGAGAAGTGATCGCGCACGTTGCATGCCGGTCGCGGGCCGGCTGCTGCTATCCGCAAACATGGCGTCGGTTGTGATCGTCGTCGTAGACGGCGTTCATCTCATCGTTCTGCGTAAAAGCGCTATCCTTGACTGTGAATTTTCGTTGTATGTCGCTATTATAACCCAGCACGCACTAGAAGAGAAGATCCACCTACTCGTGCGGCGATGTCGTGGCGGCGCTCTCAAGACGGCAGAAACGCCTGTGTTTGTTTACTTCGACTACAGTGGTGCTTTCTAAGCATTTGTCTCCTCGAACATCGCCCGGATTTCTTATTTAGTGCATTTCATGCGTGTGCTCAAGTTCAAGGTATTACTGGCGCGTACCGAATGAAGGATGCGAATTTTCACGCGTTTTCATCACCGGAGAAAAGTGATTAGGCTTAGCAATCCTGAACGCTCGCAATGTCCGTCCGCAACCCGCGATGCCGTTAAAAGGCTGCGCCAGGCAAAAGCCGCTCATTTCTTTCAAAATGTGTGACATACTTGAGACAGAACTGTACTAGTCTGGTGAAATAAAGACTGTCCTCAAACTAAGCTTAATTTTTCATCTAACATAAAATAAATCATTTTACAAAGGTAAGTTGTCTCATGGCATGTATTTTGGCCTGAAAAATTGATGTTTTGGTTATAGCGCGGTACCGCTTATAGTGCGGATTCTCGCGACTCCCGAGACATATGTTATATGCGGTCTACACGTACCGGTCTGCCGAAGCGCGTAGCTTCAAGCGGACGAAGTAAGATTTCCCGAGACTCCAGCCGCTTACTGTAATGCCCTGAGAGAGGTTACTTTTGGCACCGTCAATTTTTACGGAAACACCAAACACGTCTAGTAATTGCGGGGTCCCGGGCACCTTGGCCGAAATGGCGTTACTTAGCCACTACGGGAGATTGTGTCGCCGACTGGGCAGAACGGCCGTCTTTGGTTCGTCGGCCCTCCCTGCAATCGCAAGTTTTTCGCAGGTCGCAGAATCTAACATCTTTCTTTTTTCTCGCACGCCCCCTTCTTTCCTTCAGATTGTAGGTCCCTCAAGGTATTACGGCAGATGCTTGGCATGCGAGGACGTAGAGTGAAAAGAAAATGAGCAGTTCCGTTCATCCCCAATCTAAACTCACCGAGCTTGGCCAGGGCAGCCACGCCCCCCTCGGGCTCCTTGCCAGCCATCTCCTTGCGGAAGTCGGCCATGAAGAGCATGAAGGCCGTGCCTGGACGCTTGGGCTTGTTCACGTCGCGGGCCGGCTTGTACACCTCCATCTGCAACAACCTTCGTCTCCAGAGGCCGCCCTGCTTCTCTCTGCTCGACCACTCCCTTCCCTCTGTCCCTTCTCCCTCCCAGACTCCAGTAACAGACCACTCACAACTAGGCACCCTGCACACAAAACTGCATCTAGAAAAAGGCCAATTTCGACGGTACAAATTCCTCGCTTTTCTGGACGAGTGGCGTCCGATAAAACAGCGGCGTAACTTTTTTTAGTATGTGATTAGAGCGGACCAACACTCAATGTCCTCAAACAAGATGGCTGCGCCGTCCGAAATGTCCAAAGGGCACAGTTCAACCGCTGCCCCTTTTCAGCTGAATATCGAGCCAGTAAAAACAATTTGATTTGAAAGCCAAGACAGACGTTCCCGATCTTGCAAACCAATTTAAGGGGAGACACCCCCTGGGAGGGTCAACTTTTGAACCCTTGGCTTAAAATTAATGAAATTTACAGGGTAGGCTGGTGGTCACGCTAGAGGGTGCATAACAAAATTTTAGGTCTGTCGGTTAAGTGGGAAGGAAATTAGGGCAGCTTCTATGAGCAACACCCCTACACTGTTTAGTTAATCTATCGTCAGAAAACTATCACAATATTAAAGATTTTTATTCGCTAGATATGTAGCAGAATGCCTTGGAGGTGCGCCTATGGAAAGGCTTTTGTAAAAAGTAATTGATTTCTATCAATTTTCTCTTCTGAAAAATTGGTCAGCTTTTTGGTCTTCTGTGTCTCCGACAAAATGTCAACATTTTTTATAAAAGACATCCGTAAAGTGACAAACAAACTCCATAGGCGCATTCCTTATTAAATTTCAGTCAGGAAAAGTGAAGAACGAGCCTTGCCTGTATTTCCATTCTCAAACGATAGATTGACTAAAATGGAATTTATACAAAAAAGTGGAACAGAGAAAAATGTGTTCAAAGTGCTCCATACCCTACCTTTCCTTTAGCTTTGGTGGACAGAAAATAATTTATAAAAAATTAACTATGCAGTGTAAACTAGTGAAAATTTCTGGGAATACTTTCTGGATGTAGATGAATGTAAATATGTAATTTTTCAAAATCAATGTTTTTTGAAGAATCTTTTTTTCTCTGGGTAGTGTCCCCCCTTAGAGGAAACACTGCTTCTTGAGCTTTTCTTTTTATTTATGGTCCAGTCCAAATGGCATTTATAGAGCATAATCATCTTCCCATTCTAATGACAAATATGTACTTTGTTTTAAAATAGCTTGGTTAGTTTTGATAAAATTAACTATTTTATTTGAACATTTTATGGCCGAGATTCCAAAACATTATAAAGACAAAACTCAAAAAGGAATATATCTCTGTAAACTAGAAGGTCCACAGAATCCAATAAGGTATAAATGAAGGCTCCATGATTATTTATAACATTTTTACGCCATTTCGAAATTTTCAGTTTATAAATTAATTTTTACAATCTATATTGGAGGTGCTAACAAAAAATACTGATGCCTAGGTTGATGCAATTAAACCCCTTATTGGATACCCCACTTATACACTTACCAAAGCAAGAAAGAATTAGGAAGATTGGTTGTGTAAAGGCCGGGATACGGTTTCCGCAAAATAGCAAACTACGCAAAAAGTTCATTTCGAGGAAACAGCAAAAAACGTTCACGGACAGATTTTTACTGCTACCCGCGGCGAACTCCACTCGGATGCGACATCCCCGCACATCTTGCAACAGAGCTTGAGTTTTACTGCAAGTCCATACTCGTGATCGCATTTTATGAGTTCGACATCGCCGCAACAAGCTTTACACCTCGCGAGTTGAAGAAGCGAGTTCACGACGATGAAACTCTGTACTCTCGGGAGCTTCTTGATCGGCGCCCGAGACGCCGGCCATCAGGGCAGCTTTCCGCGTCGTAGCGGACGTCGACAAAAGTTGTTCGAGTTTTTCCTCGGCTTTTTTTTCTTTCTCATCGATCTCCGAAGCGCTGAGCATCACCGTGTCGAGCCGCACTCGCTCGCTTGAAGTCACGGATGTCGACGGCACCGTCGATGCGACATCTTCGTGTTCGGGCTCCCGCACCTCGTCGTCGACGTTCAGGCTCGCGGGAAGTTGAACTGCGCCGTGGATTAGCTTCCTCGGGCCCTTTTTTCATTTTTTTTCCAAACTTGTGGGCTGTGTGAAACTTTCTCCATGGAGTTGTTGTGATCGGCATGGTCAGAGACGCGCACGGGAATCAAACAAGATGGCGGATCGGAAACAACAAGCAGACGCTGCGTAACCCTAACAGCCAATGAGAAAGTGCCATTTGCACACGTGATCCGAAACAGCCAACCGCGTGGCAAGATTTAGTTTTTTATTTGTGCTTCGTTCTCGGCGGCCAATAGCCGCCTAGCATCGTCAACGGCGGGAGAAGAAAGAGCGGGAGCGGAGCTTTCAAATGAGACCAAGATGCCCCCTTTCTATCACGTTGTTCTCGAGCTACCGGCGGTCAAATTGTACCTTTTTCTTTTGCTTTTTTCGGAGGAAGCATCTCCGTTTAGATATTTCAAATCAATACCCCAAAATAAATAGGGCGTATCTTGCGATAATACTTTGATAAAAGATGCGAAAATACCTGTAGATATTAAAAAACATAATTTTAAAACTGTGATTTTTTGTCATTTTTTTTTTTTTCAAGGAGTCGTGTCCCCTTTTAAGGGGAGACACGACCACAAAAATAGACTTTTTTTTTTTAAAAAAGTTGATTTTGAAAAATGGTGTTATTAAGTTCATCAACTTCTGAAGCATACTTTTACGAAGTTTTATTTACGTCCGCTGCATAGTTATTTTGTTATAAATTATTTTCGGCGCGCCGGTGACGCGAGCCGGTACAAAACGACGGGGCGCGGGCGCAGAGTCGGGCAATATTTACACATTTTACTTTGGAAGCTCTCCGCATACGCTAGGCCTAGCGAGCAGATCATACTCTCGTTCGAATGCTTATCTCTTCTATTTTCGGCACTGGCACTCGTCGTCTTTCAAGAATAAGCGAGCGCGCTGGAAAACGATTGGGAACCCCGTCGAAATCTGAGCGTTTTTGCGAAAAATAAAAGGTACACGGTCCTCTATTGGCCGGAATGTTGAAACCTGAGCTCCCATTGGTCCCCGCACTCTGCGTGTTCGCCGACTCGCCGTTCGCACGTTAGTTCTTGTTTGAAGCCTGCGTTGTAACATTGTCACGTCTCAGTTCCGATCGCGAACTTTCTGTTGGACTTTGTTACATTTTGACGCTATGCCTGTGGTAAAGTCGGGAACGCGGAAACAATACGGCCGCCGCTTGCGATTTACGAAAGCACGAGGACGGAACGGTCCAAAGAAAGCAGCCACCGCCGCCGCCGATGACAACGTGCTTGTGTGTCAGAGATCTTCGCCGGTTCGAGCGGATCTCGCGGCCCCAGCCCCAGCGCCAGCATCCAAAAGTGCATCGTTTTGCAACGCGGACACGCTCACTGCGTTTGAGCGGAAGGTTAGCTTTTTTGAGGCCGGCGAAAGCGGCGGGCGCGATGGAGAAAATCCCAGGGAAGCTTCCGGTGACAGTGCAGCCGGCTACCGTTTGTTGGACGTGTCCTGTGTGCAAAGCCTGGTTGAAGCGCTGCTCTGTCCAACTTGTCGTGCTGGTGGTCCCCAACTTCGGGAAACTGGTGTGGGAGCTCGTCTGGCGTTTGCAGTCGAGTGCTCTATGTGCGGAGTCGTTGTCTTGGCGCCGCTCTCGTCGACCGTTGATGGAACGCAACAAACCGAACTTGCAGCGCGCCTTGGAGTTGTTTCTCGGAACTGTGGCATCGGTTTCACCAAACTAACCAACTTTTTTACCGGACTAAATGCCCCGCCACCGATGCACCTCAAGACTTACCAAAAAATTGCGACAAAGGTGCACGACGCGGCCACGCGAGCGGCGTCTAACGTGATGAAGGAGGCCGCGCGGATGGTGCGGAAGGCACTGGGAACCAACCCCGACGGTGAACCAACCCTTGATGATGAAGCACTGCAAGATGTGTCCGTCAGTTATGATGGGACATGGCATAAGCGAGGCCACACGTCACATTTCGGCGTTGGCGTCGCCATAGAGCTGGAGACGGGCCTCGTTCTCGACTATGCTGTTGTCAGCAATTATTGCCATGATTGTAGGATTGGACCCAAAGAGGGGTCAGAAGGCTACAAGGAGTGGCTGGAAAAACACCAGTGCCAGAAAAACTTCGATGGCTCAGCAAATGCCATGGAAGTGCAAGCAGCGGAGGTTATCTTTAGTCGATCAGTAGGTCTCCACAACCTCCAGTACACAACTATCCTCTGCGATGGTGACAGCAAAGCCTACAACCATGTCTCTGCACTCCAGCTGTATGACAAGGAGGTTGCCAAAGAAGATTGTGTAAACCATGTTGCAAAGAGAGTTTATGCCGGACTGGAAAAACTCAAGAAAGCCAAGAAAGGACTGGGGGGGACGAGGCAAACTGACCAACGTGGTAATGAAGCGGATGACAAATTACTACGCCAGCGCCCTCAAGGAAAACGCCCCGGATGTGACGGCTATGCAGCGAGGCGTCTTCGCAACTCTGCTGCACATGTACTCAACGGATGAAGAGCCTCGACACAACGCATGCCCCAAGGGGGCATGCGTTGTGTTAGTTGTGGTGGCAGGTGCCACCACAACCGCCACCTGGCACTCCAAGCGTCTGGCAAACCATCAAGTGCAAAGCCCCACCGGCCGGCTTTCTCTAAGGAGGTGGCCAAGGAGGTTGTGCCACTGTACAACCGCTTGGCACAGAAAGAATTGTTGGCCAGGTGCGCACGGATGAAGACCCAAAACGCCAACGAGTCTTTCAATGCCCTTGTATGGAAAAGATGTCCAAAGACCGAGTTTGCTTCACTTCAGACGATTGAGACGGCAGTGGCCCTAGCTGTCCTGGATTTTAATATGGGACCGAAAGGAATGGAGAGGGCTCTCCTTGAAATGGAGATGGAAGCCGGGAGCCACCACGAGTCCCAGACAAGAAAGGTGACCCAGCACCGACTTGCCAGGTCCAGAGCCAGTGCCCTGGACTCGTCAAAGGTCGCCCACAAGCGACGCAAGCTGGAAGCGGTGGCTGTTGAGCAGAAGCGCCTCAACCAGGAGGGTCCTACCTATGCTCCTGGACAGTTTTAGTGGCCTTTTTGAGGCAATAAACGCATATCTGAGGTGTGGAAACTTTAGATGCGTTTTTCTCCGTTCCATTTTTTCAGCATAAATTTCATTTTAGTCAAGCTATCGTTTGACAATGGGACTAAAGGAAAGGCCCATTCTTTGTTTTTCTGGACTGAAATTTAATGAGGAATGTGCCTGTGGGATTGTTTTTTTATTTTATGGGTTTCTTTTATAAAACTTTGTAACATTTTGTCTAAGACAGAGAGGGCTGAAAAGTAGATTGATTTTGCAGAACAATATTTTTATAGAAATAAATGACTTTTTACTAAAATCTTTTCATAGGCGCATACAATGAACATTCTGTTTTGTACCTAGCAAAAAAAAAAGTGAGATTATATCTTAGTTTTCTAACGATAGATTGACTAAACAATGCATGTTTGTCCTTTATGAAGACTACTGTAATTTCTTTCGCAATTATTGTACAGTGCTGAAATTTCATTCTGCACCATCTACCATGACCAGCAGGCCACTCACTAAATTTCATTCATTTTAAGCCAGGGGTTCAAAAGTTGACCCTCCCAGGTAGTGTCTCCCCTTAATGCGCCATCATTCGAGGGTAGCGTACCAAAAATATGACAGTAAAGTTGTAGACTATCAGAGGCAGCTATAAAGCTGTCCTTTATAGAATGCTTCGACGGGGTTTCCAGGTCACTAGTTTCGGGAAAGGGTTTCGTGCGCTTTGAAATGCAACTTAAAGTGTTAAAACTGTGGCATGTTGGGAATGTCAGGAAAATTGGTGCGGACCCTGCGGAACAATGCAGCGGAGCCTGAAACCTGAATTAGATTGCGACAGCAAAACCCCACTGGATTCCCACAGTTGCCAGACGACAATGAAAACTCTTCCAAACACCAATTCGCTCGCAGATTTGTCCACTTTGGCGCAACATTTCCCTTTGGGCGCAGCAAGGCGCAGGCAAGCGGGAATTCATCAAAATGACGCAACTGGACCATCCTTGCGCAGCACTTATATCACTGTATACCGGTCACTCGTATATTTTATGTCCCGCACTGAGGGAGAGCTTTCCCCTTAGCATGTGAGCTGCTAATACCAGATTCACATGACAGACCAAATCACGAATTTCGTCCGCGGACCATGTACCTTGTGACCGTCATGTCACCGATCCTGCGATTTGCACCTCGTTCGCGGACTCATGAAGTGAAGTCTTCTCACTCGCGGATTTTTCGCGGGAGATTGACTTGAAAAGTGTTTAGTCTGGGAATGGTGCAATGTTTTGTTTTGTGTTTTCGGAGAATTAAACCAAAAACGGCGCATCATTGTGTTTTGCGCATTCCCTGGTTCATTTTGTCGCACTATTCTTGGTTCGACGCATGAAAGAAACTGCAGAAACGGTGTCCGGCTAACGCGATGCACGTTCTGGCCCTTCCTCTGGGAACGTGTCAAGAAACTGCCGACAAAACTTCTCCAGCATGCTGCAATAATTCTTGCACGTCCAAGCAGCCTTTCACCAAGCAAGACCTTTCTTGTGACTGTGGTGTTGTGGACGAGCGCGGAATCCGTGAAGGCAACTCCGAACACCCCTCTGCGAGTTGAGAACACCGTCGCTTTTACGCCAAACCCCTCTCGAGCAGGACCATGACTGTGTCAGTGTCATGCCTTGGGTTAGTAAAGCTAGTGTCGCCTTGTGCGAAGGCTATCACTGTGTTCTGTCTCGACCTGTGCTTACCAGCAGCGTACAATACATTTCTTTGTTGCGCTAGCAAACACAGATTTCTCTCTTGAACAACGGTGCCACAATGCGAAGTTGGATTTTTGTGGCACTCTGGAGTGGCAAACAGGTTCAGTCCCTTCTCGCTGGCGTCTGCTCGTCGTCTCCCTCGTGTGGGTGCGCTTGGGAGACGGACGAACAGCGGATATGTCGTCACGTGATCAATCTCTCCGCAGATCAGTCCGACTGTGAATCGGCCACAAGGGGAACATGAGATGCAAGATAAGCAAAATCGCTGCAGTCGTTACATGAGGAAAAAAAAAAAAAGAAGTCAAAATATTGTTACTCGTTGTGGGGAGTGTGTTCATTATGCGAGTAAATATGGTATATTATCTCTCTTCAGTTTGTAGTCTGCTCTGGCGGTGTGCGGTACACAAGGGAGGCCAGAAGCCCACTCGACAAAGCTAACTGCCCGCCAGAGCAGACTACTAACTGAAGAGAGATAATACACCATATTTACTCGCATAATGAACACACTCCCCACAACAAATAACAATATTTTGACTTTTTTTTTTTTTTCCCCTCATGTAACGACTGCATTTCCAATTTTCGGCTCTGCGAGTCTCGAATTGTGTCCAACTTAGCTAGCGACAAAGTCAATTTTCTTTTGCCGCCAAGCGGTCAGATCAAGCCAAGCTAATGGTGAATTCCGCTCGCAGATCTCGAGCGCTCCATTTGGAGTGCGCATATTCCGCTCGCAGATCTGGCTCGAGCTGGTCATCTTCCGCTCGTAGATCTCTGGCGACCCCCGCTCGACGGAGCACCCAAACCCCGCCGAACTTGCTCTGCGGGATTTCACAGATCTTTCCTGAAGTTGACAGAGCGCTACGTCATTTCCTTCTGAATCGGCAGTGCGCATGTGCGGCAAGGTTGGAGAGGTCGGCGGGCCGGTCGGGTCGTCGAGTTGGATCTGTTCGGGTGCGTCGGTTATTTACGAGGGATTGTGACGGCTCTAACGCTTGTACCTCGCAAGGATCAGGGATACAAAGCTGGGACTTTGTAGCGAGGAAGAACGAGAAAAAGAATGACAGAAAAGCCGGAGGCGGAGGCAGGTGCAAGGTTAGGCCTGTTCATTCTGCAGCCAATGATTGTTTACCTTTTTACAGAGCATTGCGCCAGCGTTTTCCCATGCAATAAAGCAAGAAGAGATTAGGCAACGACCGTGCAGGTGATGGTTTATTACCTCTGTGTTTATTAAACTTGTACCAGAAATCTGAACTCCACCGCTGGCAATCGCTGTTCGTGCCCCGCTGCTTCGAAGCGGCCTAAAGGTATGTGATGGTGCCGAACGCGGACGTCTTCGTTATTTGTGACAGGAGCGCTGTGGTACGTATAATTTCGCCCGGCCTGTGTCGCGTGTTATTTCTGCAACTAAGCAGTGACAGTTGTCGATGGTCGTTGGAAAGATCAGTCGGCTGAGGCATTGGTGGGCTTGTCAAGTTTGAGCAGCGGCCATTTTGAACAACGGAGGGGGAGGCGGTGGGGAGAGGGGTGGGGGAGGTCGCTCCAAAAATGCAAGTTTATCTTCCCCTCGTCAATTCGGAGCAGGCCCCATGGAGCGGGATTTTGCCTCCCTCACGGATTTTGGAAAGCACTCCAGATCTGCGAGTGGAATTCACAATAAGCCAAGCCACTCTCGCAATGGCTGCAAGTGCGTAGTTGCAGAAATTAGCAACAGTGAAACCGAGTGGTGCGAGCACTTGATAGAGCTTGAGCCGAGGAATTGCCCAGCCCAGACATTCTTCGCCTATTGAATGCAATGATGTCAACGAAGACGGCTTCATCTGTGGTCTGCTTTCGGACAGGGAAATCGTGAAAGTGGATAGGCCTCAGAGCGGTCGCGTCTCTCTCCATGCTGAGTGCGCTCTTCCTTACGCAAAAGGCATGCCGAAAGCGTCCTAAAAGGGTTCATAATTTATAAAGCATGGATAGTGTGGCGCAGCCCCGAAAAGCCGTGGGTGCGCCTCCGTCAGTAGAGACTTGCCACGGTACCTTGCCGTGTCATATTGGCACCTAATGATATTTGCACAAAGTGTGTAAGTGCAAAATGTTTACCCTGCGTAATAAAGCCCCCCCCCCTTCCCCACCAAATGTGTGTCAATTTTTCTGGAAAAAGAAGTGTGTTTATTATGCGAGTAAATACGGTAGGATTTTATAATCGAAAGTTGTGAAAGCTGGCAGACCTCCAGCATAACGATTCATACTAAAGAGGCCAAATCAAATCTTGGCTAAATGAACGAGCCCACAACAAGGATGGAGCTCTCGCAGCGTGTGAGGAAGAGCAAAAGAGTGACGCACCTCTCGCTTGTAGCGCTCCCTGTCCCTGGCGGCCGCACCCAGGAACGGCTGTTTGTCCTCGTCCGACATTGTGTTCCACTTGCCCGCACATTCCTTGCCAAAATCTCCAATCTGCACAGGGGATGAGAGCAAACATTGCAGTTCAACCCCCTCCCGCCCCCAGGAGGACACCAAAGCAACACTCCATTCTCATTCGTTTGACCCTCAATTACATTTCTTGACCTCCAAGAGCCCCCTCTCCACTGCATTTGCACATTTCAGATACGCCAACAAGATGCCAACTCATCAATGCAAACATTTGGAAACAATTGTTTTAGCTATGCAATTTCCACCGCAACAATATTAGAGTAAATTAGAGCGCCAAAATTGATGGTAGCAATACAGCTGTGCAATTCTCAGTTAAAAGCTTTTTCCACTATAAACACCTTTGGAAATTCACATGTAGTTTCAAAATGACCTAATGTCGGCATGTGGGAAATAAACATGTCGATATTCTGACGAGCATGCTAATGCACGCAGAGGGGTAAAAAACGGGCAATATTTAAAAAAAAAAAAAGGTGAATTTGGGATTTATTATTTTTGAATCTCCATATTTCATGTATAAAAATAACGAGTGCCGGTTATGATCGCGAAATTAGTCAAATACCCATTTCAAGACCTTCAGGCAACCCAAAAGGGCATGAATTCGAGCCATTTTTCTCCGTTCAAGTTGCGACGTTGCCCGCCACCTGATTTACATTGACAACTAGGTCCAGCCGTCTCCTCTCCATTGCAGTCTTCTGTAGCTTCAATTTCTCGCAGAGGTCTATGAACAAAATATTTTCCGCACCATGGGGGGGGGGTATAGCTACACATGCATTATGAGAATCGAAAGCAATTTTTTTTTTTATGTCATTTAAGTGCAACTTCAATCTGTGCGCAATTTTTTTTTTTTTTTTTTTTAATATTGCACAATTACATTTAAATATACTTTAGGATACATCAAATGCAACTATCTAGGTTAGGTTAGAATATTTTTTTTTATTTAGATGTTTGTTCGTTCCTTGAAATGGCATTTTTGCTATTGTTAATTGTTTTAATATGAAAGAGGTACCACACATATTATTTTTGTTCATCGCACTCAGTGGTTTAAAAGGAGCAAATTTATTAATTTTACTAGGCATTCTAAGTGTGCTGCCAAGCCACCTGTAAGCGGAAGAATTTTTTTTGTTTCCATATACATTGGTTAACAACTTAGGACCCAGAAGTCAGAAAAAATAATAAATTCCTTGTGCATGCTTGATTCTGAAATGATCTATTTTGGCGGTTTTTAAGCTACAGGTTCTAATGCCGGAGTCCCACTAGAGTGACAAGCAGAAACAAAAGACAGCGACGAGCCTCAAACACATGCAGCATGCTCCCAATGGCACCTTCGCCAGGCTTTTAGTCGTTCGGCGCTCGTAAGTAAGCGCGAGCGATAGCAAGCCTGCCAAAGATACCTTCACATGCATGATGCTCACGTCTGAGCATGGCCTCTTTTATTCTACAAAGCCTGTCAAATCGCGAAAGACTATGGTTCGAGACCCGTCGCTGTCGTTTGTTTCTGTTTGCCACTCTAGCGGGACTCGGGCATAAGTGTCCTAAAAAAACTCAAAATTACTTGTGGGCGGCCGATTTCCCTATTAAAGGGCAACTCCGGTCCATACTTTCGATTTTGGGATTATGGCTGTTTTTAGTGCAGTTAGCACCCCCGAGTTGCAAGGTGTCATTTTTTTTTTTCGTAATTGTGCGTAGTTTTAAAGATGTCGACGTCTCAAAGTTTTGTTTGGGGCACGGCCGACAAAACCGAAACTAGCCGCTCGAGGTTCCGGCAACACTGGAAATCAGCCGCTATGTGGACGTGACGCCAAGATCGTTCTCGTTCAGCGAGTAAGCAGTCCAAGCGGCACCTACCTCTGTTGCGCTAGTCGTCTAAACATAGAATGTAAACTGATTTTGTTTTAATTCTGTATACGTGGTAGTTATCCAGCATATGTAGCAAGAATTAGTGCGTATACCCAAAAGCTAGCGACTGGAAAACGAGTGAACTCGTTCGGTGCTGTACTCGGCAGCTGTCGGCGTGCGTGCGGTCTCCCGCACCCGTCGCTAGGCTTAAATTGTCATCGGGGCTCCGTGGATGGAGCGGCGTTGCTCTACGTTGCGCTGCCAGTGACGTACAGTGCTGGCGCTCTCGCGCGGCGGGTCAGTCCCAGACACGAAGCTTTGAGGCTCTCCGGCGTGTTCCGCAACAACCGAACAGACGTGTGTCGAGCTGCAGACGTCTGTTTTTTCGTTATTTTTTTCTCAGGCGCGTAAAAGCCGAATTTGTAAGCTACGACACTAATTTACCACATAAGTTCGTCCAGGTAGTGAATCTTTGTACAAATAAAAAAAACTTGCCGTACTAAAAAAAGAAAAAAAGTTCTTTGGGCAGTTATTTTCTTCTCAAAGCTAGCAAAAGTTTTTGTGGGTGATAAAGGAAAACAGAGAACGTTAGCAAGGTGAGAACATTTTCTTTCCCTTCCGCATTCCCACCCCCACCCACAACAATTTTTTTTTATTAGAATACAAAGGATTTTAAGTTTTCCTTCGTAACTTTTGACTAAAGCAAGTTTTTTTTTTTTTTTTTTTTTTTTTTTGCATTTTTAAATATTATATTTACCTCCAGCCGAACTCGGGCAAATTAGAGAGCTGTAACTTACAAATCCGAACTTTCGCGATTTCTTTTAAGTCCCTTGTGGTATTCACAAGCGCAATGTTAATTAATACTGCTGCGTAACGGGTTCGAACGATTGGGAGGCGGATGTTTATATCGCATGAGCTTCACGCGCCGGCCGTTCGCTAGTAGTCGTTACGGACCTGAATACTACGCACAGGATTGCGTAGTAAACAAGCAGTGACGCAAAGCAGAACATTGTTTTCGTTTTCATTACAAACTTCAGTGTTTGGAGCTAGTTAATGGTTGTACTCTACATGCCCACCATTCCCCATTCAATGGAGCATGAATGCTCAATCTTCAACACTGCACTTGACAATGACTGTTTTATTTATTGATCAGGATACTCTTATCATGTTTACCTTTTCGGTACATGTACGATGGGCAAAGAGCGACGGCACGGCATCCTTTTTAAGCCTCGACCCCTTCGCTGACAAGCCACAAGCAACCAACACCCACAGGTTTCGTTCGTAACTCTCCGGCGAAAAATGATCGGAGCAGAGTTTCGATCTGGGGGTCGACGTCCAAGGCTTTCCAAAGTCCACTCGTCGAACAGCGTTCACCCACACCTTCTCCAATTTCCGCTCCGTTGGAAACTTGTGAAAAAGCGCCTCCGGGTTGCGCAGCGGCTTGTTTGAGCAGCCCACAGCGCTTTAAGTTGTACTCGGCATCTTTCGAGGAACAGCTGGGCAGTCTTGGACGCACCGAGTTGCTCGCTAAAACGAGTCTAGGAGACCTCGCAAGCAAATAAACAAAAGGCTATACCGAAGCTACACGGGCTACAGGTAAAAGCAACGGCTAAACACGCAATAACAAGCCGAAGTAGCGGTGGTAGCGGCACAAAGAAGCGCACGCGACGGCTACGCCGTGCTCCCGTCCGGAACAGAGGAAAAAAAGAGAATGATGTTGACATCATGGCCCAATGTTGCTTTAGCGATCGGCAACCCGCTGGCCGCCCGCTAAGGAGCAGCGGCTCGCGTTTTTAATATCGACATTAGTTGAGAATGCGGCGTCGCACGGACGTGAAATTTTGGCTGGGGTCGTATTTTGTGTCACTAAAGCGATACCAGTAATTTAATTCATTTTGAGTTTTGGCCGGAGTTGCCCTTTAAGAGTCCAATAAAAGATTGACACGCCCTTCTTTCTGCAGCCTGGAGCAGACCCCAAGGGTCGCCGCCAGACGGGAGTATTCAAACAATAATCGACGCATTATGTTTTCTACGCCCCAAGATTTGGCACATCTGTCGAAATATAATGCGTGACGTGCCTACAAAGAGCAAAAACAATAACGTTCGGAATCTCTACGCCATTAACCATTTGCCTTGGTCAAATTTTACGGAGGTGGTGGGGACCCGAGGCTGCGAGTTTACATCTAGAACTGGTCCTTTTTATTGACTAAAGCCCAACAAACGATATGACATCAAATACGAGCTTCTACAAAAATCGCTGGACTGCCCCCTAAAAGAAACACTGACACCCCCCAAATTAATTTTGCTACAGCGTCACACATAGTTTCAATAAACTCAAAAAAGCGCAACTGCCCAAAACCGGACTGGGGAGGAAAATATAGAGGAGGAGAGAGGTGGCAGAAGTCACGTGGCTGCGATACTTTTTTTCCCCTCAAACAACGCATTTTAAACTTTTTAGAAGCCCCCAAAAACTGGGTATATTTCTTTTCTATTTTTAATAGTGTGTGCCTGCCTTCAATGACACACGGCTTTCATTACCTCTTGTGGTTGTATCTAAAGCTTAGAAAACGGCCTGTGACCACGGAGAAAAAGGTGAGTGAGCGCGACTCAAACCGGCCAGTTCTCGATCGGCGGTTGTCCGGCGGAAAGAAACCGAATACCGAGCCGCAAAATATGTTCTGGGTAGGTGGGCTCTCATATGTCAGGTACAACTAAAAACCTCGGCTAGCATAAATACCCCGTCTCTGTCCCTTTAAAGGGTATGGAAACGAAATTCTGGAGCCCATTCCTTCCCTTCAACATGATGTGGAAAGCAGTAGAACGTCAGAAACATCACAATTTTGTTGGAAAATGTGAGCAAACATATTTTAAACTGCTTTAAACAATAACCACCCGGCTGTCGGCTATGAAGCTTCGACAAAATGTTGGGACGGGCTCTGACGGCAGTGCCACTATATAGGAACTACGCTCACTAGTACAGATCCCCTAATGTTTGGTGAAGAAAGCCAAAGCACAGTTGGCCACCTTGGAGTCACTCCGGCAGCCGACCTTTGACGCTAAGGGCCAATGCTGCTTTCAACGTCACTCTCGCCAAGGGACGCGACCTCTCGTGGTGACCCGGGTTTACGTCGCTGAGCTACCCACTTTTGTGCGCGGTGCGGGAGAAAGATCCATTTGAAACACTCCTA